ATGAACGTCATATAGTACTTTACGCCTCCAAGGGATGACACAGGCGTCGGTCCCCATACGTTTGTATGAACCAACTCCAACTTCTTTGCCTTTGGTTCTCTTGCTACTTTGGAAAAACTTACTTTTCTCTATTTGCCAAATATGCTACCTTTACATAAACTATGATCAATCGACTTTAACTCTGGTAGTTTTCCCTTTGATTGAAGCTTTTTCATTCCTTTCACGCTCATATGCCCAAGTCTACAATGCCACAAACTCGAGGTAACATTCGACAACTAGAAGTCATGTAAAGTGTTCCAGTTTTATTTCCACGAGCAACCAACCATGGCTCCTTTAGTAACTTTCCATGCACCACCCAAAAAAGACACACTATGCCTTTCATCATCAAGTTGCCCAATTGATATTAGATTGCGCATCAATTTTGGTACACGCCTTACTTTATGGATTTTTCACACAAATTTGTTTACCATCTTCAACCTAACATCACCCATACCTACATTATCCAAAGGTTTGCCATCTACTAGGTATACCTTTCCATGATTTCTAGCCACATAATTTTCTAGAATTTCACAATGTGCAGTGATATGGAATGAAGCTCTTGAATCTAAAACTCAAGAGTCAATAGAACTATCAACAGATAAAAATAAAGAATCTTGTACCTTCTTAGTTATGGCATTGGCGGCGTAGTTATTTTTGTTCTCCTATTTCTTTGGTGCTTTGTAATTCCTTTGTATGTGGCCTTTGTTGCCACAATTCCAGCATTCAACTTTCTTTCCAAACCTGCACTTGCTTCTTCCATTCCTTGATTTTGATCTCCCTCTGCCTCAGTTTGAATTTCTATCCCCTGCCTCTTGTTTCAACATTCAAAGCATTCACTGCTATCTCACCCAAATCTTTCCAATGAACCTCAGCGAGAATTTTGTCTCTAACATCTGTGAGCTTTAATTTTGCGTTACCTGTTGAATTACTAATTGCTGTTCTCATAGGCTCCCAACTATTTGATAAGGAGGCCATAAGAATTAGGGCACAAACTTCTTCATCAAATTAATTTTTACAAATGACAGTTGATTAATAATTGTATTAAAATCATTCATATGCTATGTCACGGAAGCACCTTCTCTCATCTTAAAATTAAGTAATTTTTTCATAAGATGTACCTTGTATTCATAGAAGGTTTCTCATACATATCAGACAAGATCTTCATCAACCCTGTTATGGTTGTCTCATTTGCCATGTTACTTGCCACGTTCTTGGTCAATGTCAACCGAATGACTCCTAATACTTGTCTATCAAAGAGTGTCCAATCTTCATCTGACATCTTTTCATGTTTTGCTCCTAAGAGAGGTAGATGTAATTTTTTTTCCATACAGATGATCTTCAATTTGCATTTTCCATAATGCGTAAACTAGCAATTCTTAAATCCCTAAAATTGAAAATAATGCGAACAAAGGACAAAAAAACAAAATAATAACCACACACACAAACACAAGATTTATAATGGTTCATTCTCCGTATAAAAGCTACATCCACTTTGTCACTGCGAAATTTCACTATGAAGAAGAAGAAAAATTACAAGAACTCTCAAGCCTCACAAATTGGCACACTCACTAAACCCTATTTGGTGGCTCTCACTCTTTAATTGTGGTTTTGCCTTTTATTCAATTTGTAATATCTAACTCTAGGACTTAACCCCTTTTTATAGGTAATACATGGGACATAATTCCTAATAGGACTCAAATCCCATATCCTAATAGGAATTATATTTTAATTCCTAATACAATTATAATCCTATTTCCTATTGTATTCCTAAAAGAAAACAATTCTACTTAAACAAAAATTAGGAAAACCTATGTCCTAATCCAACTCTAATTTGGATTGACTTTGGCTCCACAATCTCAACATTGTGATACTTTCAACAAGTAGAAATCAATTTGAAGGAATAATTCCAACAACACTTGGCTGGTTGAAGAGGATTCAAGTTATTCAAGTAAGAGAAAATAAGCTATCAGGTACAATTCCTCCCTCAATTTATGACATATCTTCACTCATGGTTATCGGTTTTCAGTTGAACTAACTTAAAAGGAGTCTACCCTTAGACCTAGGCTTCACTTTTCCTAATCTTGTACAGCTATATGTTGGTCTCAACCAATTTACCAAACCCAATCCTCTTTCAATATCCAATGCCTCAAATCTAATGAGTCTTGAGATTGAAAGAAATAGATTTCGTAGAAAGGTGTCCACGTTGGAGAACCTACACAAACTACAAAAGGTTAGCATTTCTCTGAATGAATTAGGATATGGTAAAGAAGATGACTTGAAGTTTCTCAACTCCTTGCAAAATGCTTCGAGCTTAGAGCTACTGGCTATTAATGATAACAGATTTGGAGGTATGTTACCAGAAGTGATAGGAAATCTGTCAACCCAACTCAGAATACAAGCAGTTATGAATAATCAAATGTTTGGAAAAATCCCAATAGGAGTGGGCAATCTTGTTAACTTGAGCGCTTATATCTAGCGAGGAACCATTTCACGGGCCATATTCCCAACAATATTTGGAATCTTCAAAAGCTACATGTTATGCTGGTCCAAAAGAATAGGTTATCTAGGGATATACCATCGTCTCTAGGCAATCTAACATTGTTAACAAAATTTAGATTAGATAGAAACAACTTACAGGGGAACATTCCTTCAAGTCTTTGGGAGATGCACTAATTTAGAAGTATTAGATCTCTCTTATAACAATCTAAGTGGTGCCATACCCCCTGAAGTGATTGCTCTCTCATCCTTGTCAATTTATCTTGATCTATCTTGAAACCAATTGATTGGTTCCCTGCCCTCAAATGTTGGTGACCTTATAAATCTGGGTGGTCTATTTATATTTGAGAATAAATTGTTTGGTGAAATTCTTGATAGTTTAGGCAGTTGCATTAGCTTGCAACAACTATTCACAAATGGTATTTTTTTTCAAGCGAATATTCCATCATCCTTGAGTTCTTTGAGAGGCATTGAATATCTTGATCTTTCATCCAACAACTTGTCTAGCCAAATACCCAAATTTTTAGTGAACTTTCCTTTTTTGATGAACTTAAATTTATCTAACAACGACTTCGAGGGTGAAGTACCAATTGTGGGAGTCTTCAACAACGCTTTCACTTTCGGGAAACGATAAACTTTGTAGTGGCATAATCGAGTTACATGTACCCAATTGTCCAATCAAAAGATCAAAGCAAACTCGGTCTATTTCAAAAACAGTCAAAATTCCTATAATTGTTGGAATGTTGTTGCTGACTATGTTGTTATGTTTGATAATTATTCGTTGGTGGAGAAGAACGAAAAGAAATTCCTCTTCTATATCACCATTGTTGGCTTCACTTCTGCAAGTGTCCTATGAGAATTTGCTAAAAGCAACTACTAGGTTCTCTTCAGAAAATTTGATCAGTTCGAGGAGTTTTGGTTATGTGTATAAGGGGATCCTAGACCATAACAAAATGGTAGTGGCAATGAAGGTTCTTAACCTTCAACATCGAGGAGCTTCCAGGAGTTTCTTGGCTAAATGTGAAGCCTTGAGAAGTATCAGACATCGAAATCCTATCGAAATAATAACTACTTGTGCAAGTGTTTCTATCTAAGGAAATGATTTCAAGGCTTTGATCTATGAGTTTATGGTTAATGGAGCTTAGAGGAGTGGTTGCATCCCAATCTAACTACAAATGCATTACAAGTGGCGCCCATGAATCTAAATTTTCTCCAAAGACTCGATATTACTATCAATGTTGCTTGTGCAGTGGATTGTCTTCATAACCATGGCCAAACACCAATGGTTCATTGCAATCTCAAGCCAAGCAATGTTCTTCTTGATGATGAGTTGACAGGACATGTAGGTGACTTTGGATTGGCCAGATTCCTTCCAAAGGGCATCCATAGCCTTTCAAGTAATCAAACAAACTCCATTGGTGTAAGAGGAACTATTGGTTACGCTGCTCTAGGTAAATACTTTTAACTATTTTATCATTCCTTTAAAATGTGGTTATACAAGCTATATTATATATAGGGAGGTTTTTTGTACAAATATATGATATTTCCAATTGCAAAGTATGGTATGGGAAGCGAAGTTTCAACTCATGGTGATGTGTACAGTTATGGCATACTTTTATTGGAGACATTTACAAGGAAGAGGCCAACCAATGAGAATTTTAATGGCAATCTGAATCTTCATAATTTTGTGAAGGCAGCTATCCCTAAAGGAGTCATTGAAATAGTGGATCCAGTTCTTCTTCAAGAAACAGAAGAAGGGCAGACAAGCTTGAGAAGTCACAATGTTTAGGGTGGCTTGATTTCCATATTTGGAATTGGAGTCACTTGTTCTTCAGGGTTGCCCAGTGAAAGGACGAACATGGATGAAGTTACAACCCATTTGCATTCTATCAAGAACAAACTTCTTCAAACTCCAAGACAGTGTGAGAGACTACTGTAACTATATGAGTAATTTTCTTGTGTTTTATAATTAAATGTCTGATACAACTTCAGAATAAGGTTATGTTAAACAATTTTCAACCCGCAATATGTTATAAATGGATGTATAATTTTATTTTTTACTCATAATAAATAAATCTGGGTAGTCATCGTTTGCCCTTAGAAGGTAACTGTTCAAATTTATATTAAGAAGTGTAGTGTATGAATATTAAGCATAATCTGGAGCATATACTGTTTAAGATTTTGAGGTTAGTGTAACTGAAACATAAACCAAGTCCTGAAATTAAGAATTATTTAGTTATTATGTAGTTATGAAGTGCTTAATATAATATTTTTTTTTTTTGGAACATTAAAGTTTGTCTAAAATAACTAGGATTCAAATTAAGTATCACATAAGGCATAAAACTTTGAATTAGAATTTTGTNTCATTTTTACCTCGTAAAAAATTCCTTAGAAAATGTGGTTATACAAACTATATTATTTATAGAGAAGTTCTTTGTACAAATATATAATATTTCCAATTGCAGAGTACAGCATGGGAAGTGAGGTTTCAACTCAAGGTGATGTGTACAGTTATGGAATACTCTTATTGGAGATGTTTACAGGGAAGAGGCCGACCGATGAGATGTTTAATGGTGACATGAATCTTCATGATTTTGTTAAGACAGCTATCCTCGAACGAGTCATTGAAATAGTGGATCCAGTTCTTCTTCAGGAAATAGAAGAAGGACAGACAAGCTTGAGAAGTCACAGTGTTCGGGAGTGCTTGATTTCGATATTTGGAATTGGAGTCACTTGCTCTTCAAGGTCGCCGAGTGAAAGGACGAACATGGATGATGTTACAGCTCAACTGCATTCTATCAAGAACAGACTTCTACAAACTCCAAGACTGGGTCAGAGGCTACTGTAACTATATGAGTAATTTTCTTGCGTTTTATAATTAAATGTCCTATATAACTTCAGAATAAAGTTTGTTAAACAATGTTCAACTTACAATATGTTATAAATGGATGTAATTTTATTTTTTACCAAGTTCTGAAATAAATGATTATCTATAATAAAATAATCTTTTCAACATAATATTCATTTTCTAGAACAATTTTCGATCTTAGCCTACAACATTAAAGTTTGTCTAAACTAAGCAGCTTCAGTACTGCTTCATTGTTGGATTCAAATTAAGTATCACATACGGCAAATGATAAGACTTTGAATTAGAATTTTATTGTGGAAATATAAATTTATGAGTCAATTGGGGCCATTTTGGATGCAAACTTTGAATGAACCTGCACCAGTAAACCGAATTTCTCGTCACATAACACGGCAAGGAAATTTTTATAAAGTTATAAATATAAAGTAAGTCAAGTCCTCGTTTTATGAGGTGATTTGGTTTAATTAACATGCCACTCAAAATTGCTTTACCATCGGCTACAACGTAGGCAGTGAAGGTTTACTGCACTTATTCTACATATAAAATTTATTTGTTTGGAGATAAAAGTTTGATTTTTGAAATGGGGTGCACCCTGAAGAGATCAATTCAAATGTATGATGATTGAGGTTAGTGTGGTTTGATAATCAATGCTATGATTTGTGATAATTTTATATATACATAATATCATATAATTGAAATAACAAGAAGAATTGTAATTGAAAATGATCCTTTAGCTTATAATGAACGTTTATATTTTAGTTGAAATTCTGAACTATCTTTCTCAAAAAAAGAAATTTCAATTCAACAATCATGAACCAATAATTAGTGTCATAACTTGATTGATGGTGTGTGTGTGTGTCTGTCTGGCTTTTGACAACATTTTCAAAGGAGGTAGTTTATACAAGTCATTGCAAGGCGATTTCTCATAATTGAAACAGCAATTGGGTCTAAAAATTCCGTAGGTTTCCATATTCATACTCAAATAAACCGTACAATCCATCTTTAAGAGTTTCACAAAATCCTGAATTGGCACAAAATTTAGTTCTAAAACCTTCAATTATATTTATAAGAGATGATTATGAACCACTTTCCCTGGAATCTGAGGACTAAAGTATGGTCCCAATTAAGGATCTACAAATGCAAAGCCCTTTTAAGTGAACATTTATGTTAGGTAGATAAGTGTGAACTGGTGGAAGAATTCTGAGTTTCCAACACACATAATCGAAGGACTGATGACCAGACCGGAGTGGGGTCTTAATTAAAGATCCACAAGCCTTTTACAATGAAAAATGAAAGTAGCTAGAAGTCTACCTAGTAGCAGCCCACATCCTTAATCAATAATCCTAAAAATTCACGCAAGTAATAATCAACTATCTTGTTTAGGGAATTAATGAAGCAAATAAACATATGGATACCATTAGCAATTATTAAAACACATAGTCCCAGATGAAAATCAAACTAAATTTACAAAATAAGGACAAGGAAAGTTATGAACAGAAAAAAATAAGTTTTTACTGCTCGAATATAATTTGCTTCAGTAGCAAGTTGCATGACATCTTCAAATGTACCGGTTGGTAACCTAGCATCCATCTGTGTCAGGAAAGCATCAGAAATGAGAGCTCTAGGAAGAAATTTTTTTCCAAATAACTTGAAACCTCTGATAATCATCATATGCATAAACCTTAATGATGAGGTAATAACGGTACAAAAAACAAAGGATACAATGTCAATAGTTAAGATTACATTCCACACTTCAAAAACATTACAAAACTGTGCCAGAAACTAGAATGACAAAAGTGTTCAAAAGAACCAGTACCAGAACCAATATATCTTGTTCAACTAATTGTGATTAATAGAAGTATGTTCTGTTTTAGTTTGAATTATTTTACAATCAGCTAGAGACACAACATCAATCATTCATCAACAGATACCAAATTCCTTAAAGATCTAACATGACAGCCAGAGAGAAGGTTTTGGCCTAAACCAGGCTAAAAGAGATTAAGCAATTACAGACATATGAAAGAGGAAAGATTCTAGCACAGAAACTTAATTTCATGCCATCTGAAAAAGATAAAAAATGCTAATAACTGGTACGGTTTTAAACCACTGTAGCATAATGCAAGCACCTTCTATCTTTAATTTGATCACCATGTGAACCAGGGTTTGTGATTGAAAGTTTGTCAAACAACTTTCAAGAAAGGATCAACATTCAGTTCTTTGCAACCACACGCTGTATAAATGAAACCCAACTGTTCATATAAACCAAAAGAGCAATGTTTAATAAAGACAACACATGAACCCAACTCCATACATCTGAGACAGTCAAAAACAAGAAAAGCAGAATTTTAGACAAAAACCTGAAGGAGAGTAATTGTACAAAAAGCGAAGTAATTGTTCAAAACAAATCACAGATACATCTAAAAGCTCTAAAACTTATTGCTAACAAGTTCCAAAATAAACACAAATGTCAATTCCTCCATGAGTAACAATTCACTCTTTTTATAGTCACTTTTCCACCCATTTCAATACGTGTAAGCAATTTGTATACTGATGTGAATACTTGTAAATTAAGTTTTAAAACATATGAAAAGACTATAAAAAATATGTTCCAACCTGTCACCCTTCGGTTTTCTCATATGATCTCCAGTACTAAAATTAGCCATGCTGTACTCACAGCACACCTGAGAAACATACAAATACAGAAGATCAGAGTTATTTAAATTAAGACATTAGAAGTTTTACTGAGAATGTTACCAGTGCTTGGTCAGTAATTTGCTGGCTCTCATTCTGAACCTGAAAAACACAGTAAATTGCTTACAGAATGAGCATCACTTTTGACCTATTCACACCGACACACACACAAAGACAGAGGGGGGAGAGAGAGAGATAGCTCTCTGGGGCCATAGACAGCAGCAGTGACTTTTGTGTTCCCCATCTCAAACATAGCAGAACTAGAAATCGCACGGCAAAGTAAATAAAAATTGAAATTAATCTGGAAATAAGTAATTAAAAGAAAAGGTGGTAAATTACTCATCTGCTTTGGCAACAACACCAATCTTGGCTTGTAGTTGACTCATCTAGGATTGGATTGTGAAAACAAATATGAATTTAATATTGGAAAAATGGGTATAAAAGGAACCAAATAACGAGAGAAGAGATTTATACTTCCATAGGGTCGCGACCATCTAATCTAAGTCCTTCAGGGCTTACATATTCCATCTCTATCAACTATGTGAAAGTGCAGACAGGATAGAACAATTGAGGGTTAGTTTCCACTTCACAAAACAAGCTCTTTATCTGAGTTGTCACAATAGAAGCTTGAAGACCGCTATATGATCCAAACGGTGTGCCAAATGATTTTTTGGGGATTAACACTTACGATTGAACATTCTTTAATACAAAAATTAAATTAATGTCTTAAGGGAACCATACAAACAATCAATTAATTTAATACCTTAACGGGACAAAAATTGATGATTGAAAATTCTTTCATACCGAACATGGATACAATAAATACAATTCCCCAGCAATATTAATTTTGTTTGTCTATCTAATTCACAAAGACAAAAACCATAAAAAAGTAAAAAAGCATTCTCTTTGCGGCAATTTTCTGTAACAATTTTTCACTTCACAGAATAAAAAAACCATACAAAAGCAGAGATATAAATCAAAAAATTTTAAAAAATAAAATAACAATTTTCAGCCTTCAGGTGGCTGTCTCTGTGTCTGCGTTTAATCTGGCCGTTTTAAAGCGAGGGAGCCAAAATACCAAAATGCAATCTTTCACCACTGAACAGAAGAAAAACAACATCTTTCCAAACTAAAACTATAAATACCAAATACTCACTTCCTATTTCACTGCTTATATAAATACAGTGTCCATATTTGACAAAATGTGTTCTGGCAATATTTGACAAAATAAACAAAGCCCTAACTCTTATGAACCCTAACACAACTATCAAAAAAAAAAAGTGAAACCCAGTAAAACAAAAGGAAGAAAGGAGTAACTTACATTGCTCAAAGGTTTATGATGAAGCAGTAAAGAGAAGGGGCAAAAACCCTAAGTTCAAAAAGTTTTGTTCACCTGCCTGGCGCCTATGTCACTGTTGAGTCAGTTGAGTTACTTGAGTTGAGTTGATGAACTCTTTTGGGTTGATTGTATCATTTGAAATAAGAGTTTACTGGCATTTTCATCCCTGAGGTTTGGAGAAAATACCTTTGGTCCAACAAAATCTGAAAAAAGTCAATACAATCCCTGTCAGACTAGGGGTGAAACCGAGTTGAGTATCTGACTACTCGAACTCGACTCCAATGCTACAGTACAGAGTTTGAGTTCAAGTTCGAGTCTGGTCGATACCTTAAAGGGATACTCAAGCTCAATTAATCGAGCTTTCGAGCTCGAGCTCATGCTAGTCATAATTTAGATAAAGAGCAAATCCAAATTTAACATAATTTAGGGCTTGATTTTTCCATATTAAGATTATAAAACTGCACAAACCATACCAACAACTATAAATAAATGATCAAATCACACACCACCCGCCCACCCGCCCACACACACATCATATTTATTAGCAAGAAAATTACGCCTTTAATCTCTCACGATCCAAATAATTAAAACTCTATTATATCACACCAACAATACTCAAATCTTTGGGTAATAAAATTACCCAAATAAAATTACAACATTTTGAAAAGAAATTACATGATATATTTTGAATTACATTGAGATTGAAGAATGAAAAAAATGCTGGAAAATAGCCAGCTCAAAAGATATTTAACAGGAAAACAGACCTTTCCTTTACAATTTGAAGTATCTGGCAAAATGGACCAGAAAGCGTAGCAAGAACACGTAGACTAGATTCAAAAATGTAGAACTTAATGCTCAATGAACACAATACATTCAACATTACAGCCAGAAACAAATTAATTATTTTGCTACATTGCCACACTTGCTTGAAATCAAAGTTTGTAGAATCCCATTTTCCTGTTTTATAAGTATTTGAAACAGTGTTTAAAGGAGGCACAAACAGAATAATAAAGAGACAGTAACAGAGATCAGAAGGAAGATGCTATTCATCAAAAATGTTTTATTAGGATCCAGAAGAAACAATTATAAAGAGAGTGTATGATGAAGATATGTGAACATTGAATCTAGAAGAACTGAAACCGAGATGAATCATAAAACCAATAGTAGAGTTCGTTTTCAAAGTACCTGCGCTGAGAGCCTGAGACAAGACGAAGGAGAACGCAGAACCGTGACCGGCGACCCAACGGCAAACGGAGAAGGACACTGCAAAACGCGCGGAAGGAGAGAGTTTTTAAATTATAGCCTTATTTTCTAATTTTAATCCCCAAATCCAATTCGATTTTTGCATATTTGAATACGGATGGATTTACAATTCTAAAACTAAAATTTTATGGCTCGCTATCAGTTCAAAACTATCAAGAACGCACCCAAGCTCATTAAAGCTAGTGAGCTTTTCGAGCTGACAGCACTGTGTTCAAACTCAACTCGATACTGTGTTGAGCCTCGTTGAGCCCGAATCAATTCAACTATATCAAGCCGAGTCGCGAATTTAACGAGTCGATCTGAGCCACTCGACTCAACTACCCAAAACTCAGATACTGAGTTGAAAAAAAATAAAGAGTATGATGTTATGGTTGCAATTTAACTTTTGCAAAAATAATAAAATGGAATTAAAAAAAGAAACATTGTAATTTTAAAAAATATAAAATTTAATTAATTAAAAAACAACGGAGGATAATAAAATTTGATATGGGAATTTTATTTTAGTTTTGTTTTGAAGGTAGAGATTTTTTTTTTTTTTTTAAATCTTTAATTTTAGTTGTGAAAATGTTTCAGTTTTGATAAATTTTATTCATTTTCATTGTAATTTTATTATTAACCTCTAAAGTTCTAATGTTTTTATTCTATAATTATTCTCCCAGTAAAAAAAAAGAGGGTAAAATGGATATTTCAATTTGAAAGCATTAGCACACTAGTCTCTGTTGACAAGGATTACAATGACCTTTTCAGTTTGAGCAATGCTACAGTTACCGAAGAATGCACATCGAATTCAAGACCGAATTATGTGACGCCATCCTGTTTTCTAAAAAAAGAATTCATAATATCGACAATCAGGATGGCACCACGTCATTTGGTGTATGAATCTGTGCGCATTCTTCGATAATGTTTATTTTCCTTTAGTTTTATTGGACCAAAGTAATACGTTTTCAAAATCTCAAGGGCAAAAATGCCATTTACTCATTGAAACTGGATGAACTCTTATTACAGGGTTTACCCTGACCGGCCCAACTTTATTTTATCTACTAGTTTATTATCGAAAGTAAAAGAATCTCATATTTATATTATTTTCATATATTAATATCATTCACACCCACACACACAGACATATATTGAATTAGTTTTGGGAATATTTTGCCTGAAATATTACTTGTAAGAGGTTAATTCATGTGCGGCTTGTTCAGTGAGTGGAGGAGGTATTGAAGAGGGAGACTGGAAGGCTCGAGCCTTGTAACAGCAGCCGCACATCAGCCCACCACCATCTTCTATCCTTGAAACATAAGGATGCAAATTCTGGCCATGACTCTGTGACGTGACTAGTCCTCCGCATTTACATTTTTCCTTCATGAGTTCTTTGTAGTTTATACAATAAATAAAAATTAACCTTAGTGAAATTTAGATCTAGCAAAATGATGATAGAAATGGGGATATCTAAGTTCCACATCAAATTTGTTACTTCAATAAAAATAAACAATCCAAAATGGAAAAAAAAAAAATAAATAAATAAAAGAGCCGTACAAGACTAAAATCAAGTAAACATATGACCTCATATAATTATGGAACTAATATTTTAATTGGATTAATAATAACATCTAATAACAGGATTATGAGACAAATTTACACTTGCATTAACAATTTTAATCTCCAAACAATTTTATATAAAAGATATCTCTTATAATTACATTTATCTCTTGAAAATCAATCATACATAATTATAATTAGCATGAACCGAAAATAATTAAAGTGACAATTTATGGTGCAACTGAAATTTTATTCAAGAATTGAAAAACCTTTCTCCCAAATCAATATTCATTTATTAGTATAATCTTGTAGTCTATATAAATTAGGTAGTAAAAATTATTAAATATATAATATCGATGTATATTAATGTAGTTAAAATAAATATTTATAGTGTACTAAAACATAATATAGAAAAAGAATAATTGATGCATTGAAATAATTAAATATATGGTTGAAGTGTGGTGAGAATAGGCCTACAAACGAGTTGAGCTAAGCCGAACACCGTCGGTTTGTGGTCGGTTCATGAAAATTTGATATAGTTTGAGTCGAGTTCGAATTTGTCGAGCCTAGGAAAACCATGTTTGTATCGAGTTCGATAAATTGATGAGGTGTCGAGTGTGTTCGTTGTACATAGCTATGTTAGAGTCGAGGAGGAGCTCGGATTTGTTCTCGCATCAAAGTTCGATTCGAGCTCAAATAACTACTCGAATTCTTATTTCATCTCAAGCTGTAATTGCATCAGTTTATTCACATTCAGTTTTAAAATCAAATTTCCATAAGCTCCAAAGTTCCTAAATGCATGATCAAATTTAAAATCAAATTATAGAACTAATTGCAATTGCATCATTAAACTAACAAAACAATGTAATCAGTACCAGCAACATTAAAAACAAGTTGAAAATTGCTCAACAGCCCTTCAGATCAAATTACGCAACTATACAAGTAAAATTCTTGCATCATGTAAAATTCGGTGTATTCCGCTCCTTCATGAGTATATCAAAATCAGATGTCTAGTAACACAAAAATAACAAAATTTCATCAGTTGTCTAATCTAAAGGACTGTATAACTGGAGGCAATTGCATGCAATTGCAAATGGTAAAAAATAACTTCATCGGTTTGCCCCTCAATTTACATCAATTAAATACTATTATGGCAAGATCCCATCATTTATCCACCAAAAACCAAATGAAATGACAAACACGAGTTTTCATCCATTCAGTGTGAATTAATAAACTGAGCAAATAGTTACATGCATTTAAAAACTATACAACTCACAAATTACAATGATTTGTACGATAAATGAGAACTACATGTATTATATCATAAAAAAAATTCAGAATTTAGAGACCCCAATTTTTAAAATTATTATTTGACGTTCGAATTTGATTTACATTAATAAATTAAAACCATTTATGCTACTATTTATGGAAATATATATTATATATATATATATATATATATATATTATATTATATATATTATAATATTATATATATAAATGAATGTGTGACCTGATTGTCTAATATTTTTATCGAGCACTCAATAATTAACTGAGTCCTGATTGATGTCTAAAAATCAGTGGACGAGTTATGATTATGGGTGAAATTCCACTCAACAATTAAGATGAAACAAGATCAAGAATAACAAATCTCTTTATGAATTATGATAAATAGATCTATTTTACAAATTCGTTACCATGGGTAAGAATTTTTATATACATATACTTAAGAAATGAGTGTTAAACATATATGTACAATTGTACATCGTATATATGTATTTATTTTCTCCTTAATGTACGTAACATAGCTAAAGGAGCTAATAAGTACTATTATTATAATTTGCTATATTTATAAATTATAATGAATAAATATATAATGGACTAATGGAAATTTTTAAAATTTTCAGACAAATCAAAAGTATTTTTCAGTATTATTTAAAATGAGGGTAAATTTTTTAAAATAAATACCAAAGTTTTTGAAATAATCTTGAAGGGGTAATTAGTATATATAAATATATAATTAATATACATAATCAATATGTACCTTACTATTCGCGAGCTTCGTAACTTGAAAGCTCGTCAAGGCTTGCGAATTTTAAACTGTTCGCAAACTTTAGAGCTTGAAAGCTCGTTCAATGTCCCGCCGAGCTTGAACTATTCATGAGCCTAAGAGAGCTCGAAAACTCGTTAACTAATCACGAATTTTCAACTATTCGCGAACTTTCGAGTCAAGTACACTACCATGTTCGACACTCAATTCGAACATTACTCAAACTGTTCAAGTTTGAGTTCGATTCGACAGATTCCGATTTCCGAGCTGATTACAAACTTCAGCCAAGCCAAGCTCGAACTGTTCACGAACAGCTTGGCTCGGTTGTAGGCCTAGGTGAGAAGGCATGAATTTATTTTTTGTGAATTTAAGCCCATGTGAGGCTCCACATAACATAAAGTGGGAAAAGTCCCTCTCCACAAAACATAGAACATAATCGTTAACTTCAAAAACCGAACTGAACATGCAACACATAATCTCAAAAGATTATCTCAAAGGTTTTAACAAAGGATTAAATTAAAACTCAGTTATTTTACTCCATTTCAAAGCAACAACCCCTTACCTACGCTCACCAATCATGCCACTAATTTTCACCAAATAATCATCCACTAATTTTCACGTGGTTCAAGGGGTTTCATAATCTGTAAAGTTGAGTTGATATCAGTTCAATATAAGCATGTACAGAGTAGAAAACTTAGGAAGCTGAATCTCTTAACAAAGTGTTGGCTTTACTGGACCCGTGAAATGATAACACTAGAAATGAACACACCCGCATGCATAACATATAATTAAATCTCAGAGTGACAGAGTTTTCTTCTTTTGTAATTTCCACATATATAAACCAACCAAGAACCATTTATTTTTTCTCACTTACTGTTCTGCCTAACCTGATACGACGTTAATACCTACCATGGAATAGTCCAAAGATCAATTATCGATTATCGAAGCCTTGGAAGTGGATTCCCCACTAAATTTTTTGAAAAGGAAATGTAGAGATAATCTGCAAATCTAACAACCTAACACTTCACAATTCCACACACAACACACACAATCAAAACTGTAAAAGGAATCAAGAAACAAGAACATGGATTTTACCGTGGTTCACTTATCTAATATAGGATAAGCTATATCCACGTTGAGCTCCAGAAACTTGGGGCTCATTGCACTAAAGATTAATCCAACACCAATACAACCAAGATTTACACCCAATCACTTATACACTGCGAATCTCTCTCTCACGACAACCTGCAATCTTTCCTAGAGAATTCTAAACATAGATCCTCAAGACTCAAAGGGAAACGCAACCTTAAATGTGATACAACCAACCACCCCCAAGATTACATACAAACAATGAGATACCAAGAGACCCTAACGAATACAAAAAGATTTAAAAACCAGTATTGTAGAACTCGTTCTGTAGAG